GAGCGTGCAGGGCTCCAGCAGCGGGGGTGACCAGCTTCATGGCAAGCAGTCAGGAGCATGCAGAGCTCCAGCAGCAGGGGGTTACTGGCTTCATGGCAAGTGGTCATGAGCGTGCAGAGCTCCAGCAGCAGGGGTTACTGGCTTCATGGCTCGGGTCTCACCAATCTGAACCGTCCTTCCCCGAATGGAAGTCTGGGGAGGTGCTCAAGGATCTGAGAACTAGGCAGGAATCCTTTGCCCATCGTAACCCTCAGAGACAGGGCAAATATTACGGATCTCAGGCCAGTGTGGCCCCAACAAGCTTCTGTCCCTTCCCCAACCCCTATGGGGTCACACTGCTGCAGGGCCACCTTCCTGCCCTGGAGCCTTCACCTCTGTGGGAAGTTGCAGGGGTGCTCAGAGGCCAGACCACTGCTAGACAGCGCCCGGGGCCCTGCCCGCTCTGCCGGGCAACATGATGCTGGGTACTCAGAAGAGAGGGAAGCAGGGGAGCAGCTGCAGGCAGCTTCTTACCATGTAGTACTTGTCCAGGCGCAGCCTGTCGATGCCCGTCCACTCGCGGTTCATGGTTTGCCAAAACGTCTGCAGGAACAGGTACTCTGGGAGAAAAAGGGCCTGGTGAGCGCCAGGAGACAGCCACTGCGGGACACAGGGGCGAGGGCGTGAGAAACCTGGTCAGGGCCACTGTGTGCAGCCCCTGGAGCTTCTCAGTCCGTGTGTGCTGAGCTGAGAAGCGGTGCTACATGTGGCTCAGAAACGGGCCTACTGGGGGCCTCAGAGCAAAAAGCAGCAACACACGTGAACTCCAGCCTCACTGTCTAGGGAGCAGGGGCAGTGTGAGCGCAGCAGCCAGCAGGAGGCGCTCTGCTCCCGAGTCCCCAACACCAAGTGGCTACTGGCACCTTCTGCCCCTGCAGAGCTGCCTCCCCACAGCGGGGCCAGACCACCTCGGGGGGCTCCCTCCCCACAGCGGGGCCAGACCACCTCGGGGTGCCGCCTCCCCACGGTGGGGACAGACCACCCCAGAGGGCTCCCTCCCCACCGTGGGGCCAGAACACCCCAGGGCGCCGCCTCCCCACGGCGGGGCCAGACCACCCCGCGGTGCAGCCGTAGCGGCGTAACCACACACAGGACATTCAGGACGCCTGCCCACCAGACTCACAAGCCCAGGCGAGCACAAAACCCTCCCGACGACAGACGGCACCTCTCCCCGCAGTCCCAGGGCTCCTGCACCTGCAAAGGTCCCATCAGGTGGTTTGGGAACGCGTGCGTCTGGCTTTCTGAATCTGCCACGTGTTACTGAGTGAACGCTTTGGAGCTGGTATTTTGCTGAGCACTGAATCTGCAAGCCCTTGGAAGGCAAAACTACAGCTACGAGTTACTCAAGCACAGTTCCCAGAGACCCCCTCAACTGAGCAGTTACTGTAACTACCTGGGCGCTCACCCTAACGTCCACTGCTCTGTCTACTTAACTGGACTGAAACCCACCTACGCAGTCAGGGCACCACCAGGCAATGCCCGCAACGCTCTGGGGCAGCGGTGCTGCTCAGCCTGGCTGCCCCCCCGGAAGAACACAGGGAGGGTCAAAATGCTGATGCCCAGGCCCTGCCCCGAGAGACTGATGTAACTGGACCAAGCTCTGGACCTCTGTATTTTTAAAGGATTCCAACAGGCAGGCAGGGTTGGGAACTACTGATCTCGTTGAGGAGCAAAAACAGAAGAGTTAGAAAAAAAAACAGAAAAATGAAGTGCAGGGACTGCACAACCATCAGGTTCCTGAAGTTCAGTCAACAAGCTTGGCAACATTATACTGGCTTTTCCTTCTCTTCTGAAAACGCAGGAGAGCGGCCCTTTAAGGCCTGTTAGACATCTGGTTACAGCTGAGTCTAGCTGGAGTCCCTGAGTTAACACACGTGTCACACTCACTGAGCACCCGAGGGTGCTGGCTGCAACCCTCACCCTTCTCTCTCTGCTCTCAGCCATGACAGCGCTAGGTGTCAGCACAGCAAACCTGTGTCTGGGAGTTTTGATCTCCAGCGGGCTGCCTTAACGAATGGGCGCCGACGTGGCAGAGTGTACTCACGTGCCTCTGCGGTCTGAAAGGCGTGGATAAGCTGGGAAATGGTCCTTCCTAGTTCCTCCTGTGCGGGAAACAACAGAAATCCCTCAGTCTGTGGAGAAACGTACTCTTACAACGACAGGGACAAATGAGCTCCCTGCACACCCACTCACCACAGAGACCAGGCTCCACTGGGTCGCTCAGCCCAGGGACACCTGAGTTTTGCAAGTTTCACCCCTTGCTGTGAACAGAATTCCCCAGTGAGCCACTGTGGTACCTGCCCTCACGACTGATGCTGTGCCCCAGACATAGAGGCTTGTGGGCAAGAAGGAGCAACAGTGAGCCTGGCAGCTCAGCCCCTGACCAGGAGCAGGAGGTCCCCAGAGCACCATGGACCACTCACAGCCTGACTGCCTGTGTCCCTGCGCCAAGCATCACTTGCCAAAGTGGAAGATTCTAGAGCCTCCCCCGAGTTACTAGTTTAGAAGGTATGGAATAAGGCCAAGAAATCTCCGTTTTAAATAAATACGCTCGTCACCCAGGTGATTTTGAAGCACAGGCAACAATTCATGCTTTGAGAAACACTGAATCAAAAAGCACAGCAAAAGCAATCCTTGTCTTTGAAGACAGGGCTTCTAGCCCTTTGGCTTCCAATATTTCAACGCTCAGCTTGTGACCCGGACAAACACAAAACACAAACAGCCTGTGTCTTCACCGGTCCCCTGACCTGCACGCCTACCGCCAGCTGCCGTGGTGCTCAACTCAGCAAGGACGTCAAAGTCCCAAGCAAGCGTCAGATCCACTCTAACCAAAGGCCCTGGGCCCCTCGGCCACAAAAGACAAAGCACTGAAGCTGTAAAACTTCAGCCAGTATCTGGCCACATTAAAATGAGGGTCAACCCCGTGTCCATCTGTCCCCGCACTGACACTCCTGCTCTGGAACGTCTTCCCCTACCTCCCAAACACTCACCTGGAGGAGCGGCTTGTCCTGCATCCACATGCAATAGAACAGTCCTTTCCACACCTTCAGCAGCTCGTCATGCGTGAAACCCCCTGCATCACAAACAGCGACATTCAGACTCAACGTGCCCAGCCTTTTAGTTCCAGGAAGTGTGGAAGCCGGGAAGCGTGGCCGCCTGAATTAGACCAGAGTCTTTTTGCTGTAAATGCCGCTGCAGAGCACAGAGCCTGCCCTTCCCGCTCAAGCAATCCTAACTCAGAACTGCTGAGCCTGGGGCTGCAGGGATTCCTCCAGGGAAAGGCCACTTCATTCATTCAGTGAACGCGTCCTGAGAATCAACAAGGCATCAGGCTCAGGACCCCATTCTGGAGAATCAAAAGTGAGTCAATCCGATAGTTGAGCTGGATTCATTAGTGCTAATTCGTCCAGCTTTACATTTAGTTTGTGCACTTGTCTGTGTTAGTATCTCAGATTTTAAAAGAAACCATTAACTCTTTCATTCAGGCCAGTAACGGAGGTAGATACATAAACTCACTCCTCTGACAAATATTTGCTGTTATTAGCCACCGTCCAGTTGGTTCTGACTCATGGCGACCCCACGCACATCAGAAAAAATGCTGCCCAGTCCTGCGTCATTCCCATGATTGGTTACGGATCGGACCATTGGGATTCACAGGGTTTTCACTGGCAGATTTTCAGAAGCAGATTGCCAGGCCTTTCTTCCTAGTCTGTCTAAGTCTGGAAGCTCCACTGAAAACTGTTCAGTATTGCAGCAACACCCAAGCCTCCACCGACAGATGGGTGGTGGCCACACTGAAAACTGTTCAGTATCGCAACACCCAAGCCTCTACTGATAGATGGGTGGTGGCCGCACATCAAATGAGGTGCCTTGAGGTGCACTAACTAGGAATCGAATCTGAGTCTCCTGCACGGAAAGTGTGAATTTTACCAGTGAACCACCACTGCCCCCTACAAACATTTAGGGGCCCTATAACGTGGCCTGGTGGCACGGTGGTTAAGTGCTTGGCTGCTAACCGAAAGGTCAGTGGTTCAAAGCCACCAGCCGTTCTGTGGGAGAAAGATGTGGCAGTCTTCTGCTTCTGTAAATATTACAGCCTAGGAAACACTACGGGGCAGTTCTGCTCTGTCCTACAGGCTTACTGTGAGTGGGAATCGACTCCACGGCAACGGGGTGGGTCCAGCTGATGCTCAACTGCTGGTCTGCGACCACACTTGAGAACCACCAGTACAGAGAATGGTCAACAAGAAGCACATCCTCTGCCCTCCTGGAGCACGAGTGAAAATCAGTCAGCAATCCAATAATTAAAGACACAGAAAACAAGGCTTTGAACAGCCTCCTTCTGGTTCCCAGGAAGTTAAACAGAAGAATCACCTGGGCATCTTATTAATATGTACATTCTGATTCAGCATATCTGGGGGTGGAAATGAAAATTCTCAGCAGGAAACTTGTTAGAAATGCAAATTCTCAGGGGTTCGAACCAGAAGAACAGGTTCAAAGCCCCGATAGAAAACCACAAACAGTAATGAATGCTTCTGTAAGGATGTCCAAACAGTTAACAGCCAAAGTATATGATCTGATGAAGGAGGGGATGGCTTCCCAAAGGATGGGAGGTCTGAGCTGGGAATCCTATTAGCTGGGGGGACAGAGAAGCTGGGTGCGGAGATCGCAGGCAGGGCCAAACAGTTGCCGCACCACGAGAAGAGCGCGTGCAGGGCCGAGCGTTCGCCGGGGTGAGTGGCAGGAGTCGGGAAGGGTGGAAGCAAGACCCGTCGGCCCCGCCACTTGAGGGACCACGCGGTTCGGAGGCTCCCCAACCCTGGCCGCCGCCGCCCCTCGCCAGGCACAGCCGCCCGCGCCCCGGCGGCGCCCCCTGCCCCGCCACCCCTACTGCCCCCGCATTGACCTGCGGCCCGCTGTGTCCTGGCCACGATGTATTTCCGGAGCTTCTTCACCGCCCGGTCGCGGGTCACCTTCTCGTTGCCCGCCAGGTGCTGCGCAAGCTGGATCTCCGGAGGGAGCTGCACGCGCGACACCATGGCGACCACGGCCGAGATCCCCCAGCACCCCACGCCGCGCGTACCGCTCCGACTGCGCTCGGGCGCGCGACGTGACGTCACAAGCCCGCGACGCGGCTCTGGCCGCACGCCAGCGCCGCGCTGTGGCCGGCTCCGCAACTACAGCGCTGCGCGGAGTCCCGCCAGGGAGCCCTTTCCAGACCCTGAGAAGGATTGATTGAACAGCTTGTCTAGACTCTGTGGGAGGTGGCTGTTACAACAGATACTTACTCTGAAGCTGTCTAATTAAAGGGAAATAATTAAGCATTTACCCTGCCTTTTAGTAGAATCCGTGGTTCATTCCAGCTGTTGAAGGAAAGCTTTACCAAAGAATGCCAGCTACTACATGTGGTTGATAGTTATGAGTAGCCCCCAACTCATGGCGACCCCATACACAATGGAACTAAACTCTGCCCAGTTCTGTGCCATCCCCATGATCAGTTACGGATCGGAGAGCCGTGATCCATAGGGTTTTCATCGGCTGGCTTTTGGGAGTAGATCACCAGGCCTTTCTTCCTAGTGTGTTTTAGTCTGGAAGCTCCACTGAAACCTGTTCAGCATCATAGCAAAATGCAAGCCTCCACTGACAGATGGGTGGTGGCTGTACCTGAGGTGCACTGGCCAGGAATCGAGTCTGGGTCTCTGTCTCAGTTATCCAGTGCTGCTAGAACAGAAATACCACAAGTGCATAGCTTTAACAAAGAGAAATTTATCCTCTCATGGTCTAGGAGGCTAGAAATCCATATTCAGGGCACCAGCTCCAGGGGAAGGGTTTCTCTTGCTGTCAGCTCTGGGGGAAGGTCCTTGTCATCAATCTTCCCCAGACAAGGAGCCTCTCAGCGCAGGGACCCCGGGTCCAAAGGATGTGCTATGCTCTTGGTGCTTCTTTCTTGGTGGTATGAGGTCCCCGTCTCTCTGCTCGCTTCTCTCGTTTATATCTCAAAAGACAAAATCTAATCTTGTAGATTGAGTCCTCTCTCATTAACATAACTGCCTCTAATCCAGCTTCATTAACATCACAGAGGCAGGACTTACAACACTTAGGAAAATCACATCAGACGACAAAATGGTGGACAATCACACAATACTGGGAATCATGGCCTAGTCAAGTTGACAAGATATTTTTTGGAGACATAATTCAATCCATGACAGTCTCCTACATGGAAGGCAAGAATTCTACCACTGAACCACCAAGGAATGATAGAATTAGAGAAAGACCGTTTTGCCACCCTCAATGAAGTCTCTGATGCAGGAAAAGATCATCAGTAAATGCATAAACAAGGAGAATGGTTGTTGGAGAACAGGATATTTGTGTGAAAGGGGAGAAGCGTACTTTACAGTGGAGAGATCCAGCAGTCAGCTCCTTTCATGGATTGAACTGTGTCCCCCCAAAATATCTGTCAACTTGGCTAGGTCATGATTCCCCGTATTGTATGATTGTCTACCATTTTGTCGTCTGATGTGATTTCCCTATGTGTTGTAAATGCTATCACTATGATGTAATACGGTGGATTAATGGCAGTTATGTTGATGAGGTCTACAAGATTAGGTAGTGTCTTAAGTCAATCTCTTTTGAGATATAAAAGAGAGAAGCGAGCAGAGAGACAGGGGGACCTCATACCACCAAGAAAGCAGCGCCAGGAGCAGAGCGTGTCCTTTGGACCTGAGGTTCCTGCACTGAGATGCTCCCAGACCAGGGAAGACTGATGACAAGGACCTTCCCCCAGAGCCAACAGACAGAGAAAGCCTTCCCCTGGAGCCGGCGCCCTGAATTCGGACTTCTAGCCCACTGGACTGTGAAGAAATAAACTTCTCTTTGTTAAAGCCATCCACTGTGGTATTTCTGTTACAGCAGCACTGGATGACTAAGACAGCCCCTGAACCAGCAGTCATGCTAAGCATCACCAGTCGCAGACACCCTGACCTTAGATGCTTTTGGTGTGATGTAATAGCAACGTCACAGCATCACCTGTGAGGCCTTCTAGCCGAAACATTTAACTTAAATTCAAGCAAGCTTTTAGGTCTACATTCATATTCTCAGGAAATAGAGGAAGGCGTTAAATTACGTACATGAAAACAATCATAAGTCCAGACTGTAGGACATTCGCAACACCACGCTTACGGACTGAATTACCCACCTAACAACCTGTTGAAGTCCTAGCTTCTGTACCTGTGAACATGACTTTGTTTGGAAATAGAGTCTTTGAAGATGTCAGTTAACATGAAGCCATATTGGAATAGGGTGGGTCCTAAGCGTATATGGCTACATCAAACCAAAACCAAGCTCTTGGTGACCCTATGTGTTTCAGCGTAGAACAGCACTCCAGAAGGTCATGGCTGTGAACTTTCAGAAGCAGTTTACCAGGCCTTTCTTCCAAGGCACCCCTGGGTGGGTTCAAACCACCAACCTTTTGGTTAGTAGCCCAGCGCTTAACTGTCTGTACCACCCAGAGATCCCATTTATGGCTAGTGTCCTGTAAAACAGGAGAAGAGACACAGAGGGAAAACTACCACATGGCCTTGGAGTTTTGCTGTAGCTGCAAACTGAGGAAGACCTGGAGCCTCCAGAAGCTGGAAGAGGCAAGGCAGGATTCTCCCCTAAAGACTTGGAAGAAAGCGTGGCCCTGCCAATACTCTGAATGTGAACTTCTAGCCTCCAGAACTGTGAAAGAAGAAATTTCTGTTCTTATAAGCCACATGGTTTGTGGTATTTTCTTACGGCAGCCCTAGGAAACTAATATGACTACTGTCCTGACCTCTTCAAAAAGTTAACATCATGAATGAATGAATGAGTAAAGGAGGGGAGAATGCAATATATATAAATTCTGATTGGACGCTGGTTCCAAATATATATATACACACACACATATATATAAGTCATTTTGTAGACACTTGGGAAAATTTGCACATAGATGTTAGATGATGGTATGGATTGAACTGTGTCCCCCAAAAATGTGTGTCAACTTGGCTAGGCCATGATTCCCCGTATTGTGTGATTGTCCACCATTTTGTCATCTGATGTGATTGTCCTATGTGTTGTAAATCCTACTTCTATGATGTTAATGAAGTAGGATTACAGGCAGTTTTGTTAATGAGGCAGGACTCAATCTACAAGATTAGGTTGTATCTTGAGTCAATCTCTTTTGAGACATAAACGAGAGAAGCGAGCAGAGAGACAGGGGTACCTCATGCCATTAAGAATGAAGGACCTGGAGGGGAGCGCATCCTTTGGAGCCAGGGTCCCTGTGCTGAGAAGCTCCTAGACCAGGGGAAGACTGATGACAAGGACCTTTCCCCAGAACTGACAGAGAGAGAGAGAGACTTCTCCTGGAGCTGGCACCCTGAATTTGGACTTTTAGCCCCCTACATTGTGAGAGAATAAACTGCTGTTTGTTAAAGTCAACCACTTGTGGTATTTGTTGTAGTAACACTAGTTAACTAGGAATTTGGTACCAGGAGAGTGGGGTGCTGTTCTGACAGATACCTAAAATGTGGAAGTGGTTGTGAAACTGAGAATGGGTAGAGGCTGGAAGAGTTTTAAATTGTCTAACAGCAAAAGCCTGGATTGCCTTGAAGAGACTGTTGTGGAATTATGGACATCAAAGACAATTCTGGTGAGGACTCAGAAGGAAGTGAGGGGAGCTGTTAAACACTGGAGACAGCATAGATGGTGAGGAACAGCAGCAGGGAATTGGCACCAGTAGAACCAGGAGACCGACCCACAGAGCCAGAGAGCTGAGTGCCTTTGGCAGGAGGCTTCCTGGCAGAATGCGGTGCCTCTGGGCACTTACCGGTAGAGCTAGTCTTGCCAACCCACGAAGCGAGAGACCTGAGTGCCTTCTGGCCAAAGTTTGCTGGTGGAGTGGGGTGCCTCCAGGCACTTATCGGTGGAACTAAAGAGCTTTGGAACGCTTGCCCCAGCAGGGCAGATGCAGGTGGCTAGGCCCAAGGGGCTGAGAGGCCAAGGAACGAGGAAGCAGAAGCTGAAGAGACAAGGAACACAGGAAGCAGAGCTGCCTCAGTCTCAGAGGGTAGGACCACAACCTCCGGATCTCAAAGGGTGGAGCCATGGCCTCCTAGGTTTCAAAGAGTCAGATCTTCACTAACTCAGTTCCGGAGTGTGGGGCTGCCGCTCACAAGTGCCAGTGGGATGGGGCTGGATCCACTGCCCAAAGCTGAGGAGGGGGAGCTGTCATGCCCAAGGGGCAGAAGAATGGGGCCTGCCAGGGCCGACGGGGTAGGGTCACCACTCAGATGGGCTAGGAGAACGGGGCCGCCCAAAGTCAAGGGAGCAGAGTTGCCATTCCAGTGGGCCTGGAAGATGGAACTGAAGCCCAGGGCCGAGGAGTCTCCATTCAGAATCTGGAGGGTATGGCCAACACCCAGAGTCTGGAGGGCATGGCTATTGTCTCAGAGAACAGAAGATTATGTTCAAGCCTTGAGAGCTAATGTAATGTGTTCTGCTGACTTGCTTGGCCTAGTATCCCTTCTTTCCATCCAATCTCTCCCATTTGTAATGGAAATGTCTAACTTGTGCCTGTTCCACCATTGTACCTTGGAAGCAGATAGCTTGTATTCTAGATTTCACAGATGAAGAGGAATTTTTGGATTTTGGACTTGGAGTTGATTTAAGACTTTTGCTATGATATGATGGGGTGAATGTGTTTTACATGTGGCAAGGACATGAAATTTGGGGGACCAAAGGGTGGAGAGTTATTGATTGAATTGTGCCCCCCCCAAAAAAATGTGTGTCAACTTGGCTAGGCCATGATTCCCTGTATTGTGTGATTGTCCACCATTTTGTCATCTGATGTGATTTTCCTATATGTGATAAATCTTACCTCTATGATGTTAATGAAGCAGGATTAGAGGCAGTTTTGTTAATAAGGCAGGACTCAATCTACAAGATTAGGTTGTACCTTGAGTCAATCTCTTTTGAGATATAAACGAGAGAAGCGAGCAGAGAGACAGGGGTACATCATGCCACCAAGAATGAAGAACCAGGAGGAGAGCATGTCCTTTGCACCTGGAG